ATTAAAAAACTAAGTACATTGTCGATTCTCTGTATCTTTTTTTCTTTTACACATCGAACTTGTCTTAAATTTTGAATCTAGCCTACAAGCAAGAAAGAGCTCATGTCGGGTTTGAAGTACCAGCCAACCAACCAGGTCTCGATGTGTTGTAACTTATCACGATCAATCAGGTCGATGATCAGCTCGGTGACAATTAAACAAAACACCACTTGTATATAGTTTTGACAAGCGGTTCACATGAGTCTAAGTTCGCAAACGTAATGCTACAGGGATATCGAATACTTTCAATTAAAAAACGAGTTCATATTAGGTGGAACAAATTTACGTGATTGGATCGACATATGCCACCTCATATCGCGAACATCAAAAGTGGTTGCACCAACAACAACAACAAGAGTGAAGAAGACACATTGCACATTGCATATTGCATTCCATCTCATATAATAGTCCCATTTGAAAGAGATGGAGAGGAGAGGGAACAGAAAGAAAGGACGCATGTAAGTCTCTCTGCCATTGTAGAGCCCTCAATTCGTTGGTACAAAAACAGTACGCAGGATGGAGAAGGAATGCTACAATTCAATGACATCAAGTGGCAGTCTGAGAAACAAAGTGTACCAAAACTTGAGCAGCAAAACAAAAACAACAGAGGATGGGGACGTCAATGCATTGGCATGGCTTGGTATGGTTGGGAGAGCTGACAGAAACCTTTGATGTTTCATTCATCATATGCCCCCTGTTTTGCGGAACTTGTACTTTTTTCTACCATTGGTTTACTTGTAATTCCCGGAACAGAATAATGTTACACCACATCTCTTACTCAACCAGCCTTCATTTACACAAGGACGAAGTTGGTGATGGATAGGAGGTTTGAATGAGTTGATCTATAGAAACCTCGACGATTCGTGAGGTTGATTGTTTTGGTAACGGATGGTAAGTATCGTGACGGTAAATGTTATAACTATGTTGAAAGATATGTGGACTGTGGTGGATCGCTTTTGTGTCGAACCAACATCGACCTTATGAGGCATACGAGATTTGCATCAGAAGCAAGAACTGAGAATAGAGTTGTAGATGTGTCAAATATCATCAACTAATCCGAGAAACGCATAGCAAGACACAACGAATTAACGTGGTTTCCCCAACGATGATGATCGTTGAGACTATTCCACGGAGAAACTCTGTAATCTCTTATTACGTTCACAGCCGCAAAGATACCATGGCCGAACCCTACTCTCCACAATATATAGAGCCGCGCACACCCAACCCTCATTCACGTCAGAAAATATGAATATATGTACATACGGCTAATTACATTAAGGTACCTATATCTTTATATTCTAACACCCTCCCTCAAATTGATGGTGCTGACGCAACATCGATTTGTGAGCTAGAAACCAATGACGAGCAGACCCCACCGCCTTGGTTAATAAATCCGCCGTCTGATCCTCCAAAGTGATATAGGTAAGCTCAATGATCCCATCAGTCACCAATTGCCGAATGTAATGAACATGAACCTCAATGTGTTTAGTACAATCATGAAGGACTGGGTTGGTAGCGATCTTAATAGCACTCGTGTTGTCTGCATAGAGTCGAATAGGGACGCGACACACCACACCAAAATCCTCAAATAAACGCTGAAGCCAGACCAACTCAGAGGTAACTTCACTCATGGACCGATACTCAGCTTCAGTTGAGGATTTCGCCACCCTCTCTTGCTTTTTGCATCGCAAGAAACAAAGGAGGAACCAAACTTCACACACCACCCTGACGTCGATCGACGGGTATCCAAACAACCAGCATAATCAGCATCAGCGTACGCCTCTAAGACAGGGTTACCCCCAACCGGGAAGAACAATCCCACATGTTGTGTACCACGCAGATAACGTAATATGCGTTGAACAGCAAGCCAATGATGAGTGTGAGGAGCAGACATATACTGACTAACCACCTAAACGACATAAGCAATGTCAGGGCGAGTGTGAGTAAGATATATCAGGCTTCCCACAATACTCCGGTATAGCTTACCATCCGGAAGCAATTCGCCAGAAGATCGTGTCAGCTCCAGATTTTGCTCCATAGGCGTAGCACAAGGAACACAGGTATCCATTTGCGCTTCTTCTAAGAGATCAACAATGTATTTATGTTGACAAACATGAATACCAGCAGGTGAGTGATCGAACTCCAGGCCTAAGAAATAAGATAACTCCCCAAGCTCCTTGAGATTGAATGCTTCGCGAAGAGAAACAGTGAGAGATTGGATGCCTCCCTGATCATCACCACTAATAATCATATCATCAACATAAAGAAGAAGAATCGTGATGCCGCTGCTGGTGCGACGCAAAAAAAAGAGAGGGATCATTGTCACTCTGAACAAACTCAGCGCGTAGGACCGTGGCCTGAAACTTTTCGAACCACGCGCGAGGTGCCTGCTTCAGACCATAGAGAGATCGTCGGAGGCGACAATCCATAGATTTATCACCCTTGGCATACCCCGGAGGACACTCCATATAAATCGTTTCCTTCAACTCCCCATGCAGGAATGCATTTTTAACATCCAACTGAACTAACGGCCAATTTCGCATAGCAGCTAGAGCAATGAGACTCCGTACCGTTTGCATTTTAGCCACTGGAGCAAACGTTTCTTCATAATCAATGCCGAACTGCTGCTTAAACCTTTGAGCAACGACACGAGCTTTCTCGCGTTCTATTGATCCATCAAGATGACACTTCAGTGCATAAACCCACTTCTTCCGATAACTGTGAACTCAGGATGCCGAGGTACGAGATCCCAGATATGTTGAGCTTCCAAAGACTGAGTCTCAGTGTCCATAGCCGCCTCCCATTGTGGAAGTCCTTGAGCTTGTTTATACGTAGCGGGAATAAAGTGAGAGGATACTGCCGAGAAGGCAACAAAATCCGAGTGTCTGGCAGGCGGTTGACCCTTATTTGCTCGAAGAGATCGACGCAGGGGAGGAGCCACCTCGGCCTCGAATGAAGTAGAACCAGTGGAGGAAGAGGTGGAAGCCGAGGAGGACCGCTCCGAGGACAAAGAAGACAAGCTAGATCTAGGTGGAGTAGGGGGGGGGGGGTCAACATCGTCGGAATCAGGCGGGTCTGGAGCATCAGGAAAGGCGGAGAGGAGAGCCAAGAAGTCCCATTGAGAAATGTCTACAGGAGCATCAGAAGCATAGTATGGAGAGTGCTCGAAGAACACCACATGGTAGGAGACACGGAGACGACGGGCAGCAACATCATAGCAAGCATAGCCCTTGTGTTTATCACTGTACCCGACAAACACACATTTGGCAGCTTTGGGTGCGAGTTTGTGACGTTCTTTACGGGGAAGCAGAATATAGCACACACATCCAAAAACCCGAAACCATTTATAATCCGGAAGACGAGAGAAGAGAACCTGATAAGGACTACGCTGATCAAGGATAGGGGTGATCTAACGATTGATAAGATAGACCACCGTATGAACCGCCTCCACCCAGGGGCGGACCCACGGAGGTTTGGGGGTGTCCCCGGACACCCCTAAATTTTGAAAAAATGATTATCCAACTTCCGGTGGTAATTTATGTATTGAAAAAAAATTATAATTAATAGTCCGGGACACCTTAAAAATTGAAAAAATCATTATACTACTCTCGTTTGTAGTTTGCGCATGGGAATATAAGTGGTAGTTTGGATAATTCAAACCCGAGACACTACTATTAATAAATATAATTTTCATTAGACTACAAATTTTTTTGTGGTTCTATTCTAAACACTATGTGATAGCAAAATTGCAGGAAACATAAATATTGGGGTGGTTAGGGGGTTAGGCAGCCGATTAGTGCCAAGTAGATTAGTAGGGTATCATTAGGTTTTTGGGCTTATTTCCCTATAAATATGTATTTGAGTCATTACGTTGGATTTGGTCAGAAATCAGTAATCAAACCCTATTCACTTTATCCCTCTTCTTCTCCTAATCTCTAATTCCCAATTCTATTCTTCCTATCTCAATTTCCCAATTATTCTTCTCAAATCTCTAATTATTTCTCTCAATTCCTAAATCTCTTTCTAATCTATCTGGCTACGTTAATCACAAGTTACCGCAGAATCATAGTTCCTTCAAAAACCCTAGTCTCTATCTTTAATTATTTTCAAAACATAACAATTAATCTAATTACAAGCTACCCTTAATTTATGGGTGTACGACAAGTGTTGAAAGTGTCTTTTCAGCTTTGAGTTACATCAAGAATAAATTTAGAAGTCGAATATGCATTTGTTCGTGAATGATTGTCTAGTAGGGTATACCGAGACAACTTTGTTGAGCAGTGTAGACACCAAGTGTGTTTTACAATTTTTTCCGAATATGAAAAATACTTATGAACTTTTTTTAACTTGTAAGAATTGGCTATTTTCTTATTTAAGAATTATTTAATTTTTATTAATTTTTATTTTTATTATTATTTATTTCTTTAAAGAGGACACCCCTATATAAAATTTCTGGGTCCGCCACTGCCTCCACCCAAAAATGAGGAGGGATCTGCGAATGAAAAAGTAACGCACGAGTGAGTTCAAGGACGTGGCGATTCTTGCGTTCCACCACGCCATTCTGCTGAGATACTCCTGGGCAGGACTGCTGGGGAAGGATTCCCTGTTGACGAAAAATTTCATGAAGTGGATGAGATACAAATTCCCCACCAGGGTCTGACCGGAGGATCTTAATCACCTTCCCGAACTGTGTAGAAACCATCTGAATAAACTCGCGAGCGACATCAAGTAACTTAGATTTTTGTTTAAGAAAATATACCCACGTGAACCGAGTAACCTGATCAACGAAGAGAGCAAAGTAGTGGAAACCCAGTCGAGTAGTGACAGGAGAGGGACCACAGAGATCAGTGTGAACCAAATCAAAAGGCTCGATATACTCAGTCGTGCTCATACCAAAAGATCGCTGTGAAATTTTCGCCTCCACACAATGAATACAGTTATGATCAGGAATTGTACAAACTGTGCCAGATAACCAATTATTCTTAAACATATCAAACAATCTCGACTTATGAGGATGTCCTAATCGATAATGCCACAAATCCCAATCCGACAAGTGTACTGAATAACCAGAGTTACAAAAAGACAAAGTTGAACTGGGTTGCAATGCCGCATCTGACGAACGCATATGTTGTGCGATCTCACTGGTCACCTCGAGCTGCCTCCCACGATCAACGGGTTGGCGAGTGAAATCATCAAGCACATACACACGTCCATGCTTATGTCCTCTCCCGATCTCCTGGCCCGTCACCGTGTCCTGCACAGTGCAACCATGGGCATCAAACAGAACTCTACAACCCTCATCTGCTAGTTGACCCACTGACACCAAGTTCGGCACCAATTTGGGAACATAAAAAGTACGGGGAAGCTCTTTTTCTTTACTCCGAGCAGTCTCGATACCATCAACAAAAATATGAGACCCATCTGCTACCTGTAATATAATTCCTGAACTAGGACGAATATGAGAGAGAGACGACCGATCACTGGTCATGTGATTGACAGCCGCGAAATACATATGCCAAGAGGAGAGAGTGGAAGAAGAATTACCCGTAGCATAAGCAGTAGTATCGGATGGGGAAGTCATCTCCTATAATGCCTCTCGGATGAGACGGCGAATCTCCTCCGAAGAGACTCCAGACGAGCTCACGGTGGCAGAAGACGAAGTGACCATAGGTGGAGCATAAGTAGCAGCAAAGGCACCACCTGAGGATCCACGACCAGCAACATGTCTGAAGTTAGCCCCTGAATTGCTATCACCATGAGATGATGGCCGAGCATCAGACCCTCCACGAGCACGACCACGACGAGCTAGAATGGAACAATCACCAATGACATGCCCCTGAGTTTTGCAGTAGTTGCAGATGATTCGCTTAGGGCACCGAACTTGAACGTGGCCAGGCTCCTTACAATGGTAACAAATAATCTCTCCCGATGGGGTCCGGCCAAACTGGGGCCAACCCGACTGTACAGCAAACACCACTCCAGAATCCGAGGCATGCAGGTCGAGCTTTGCCTGGCTTCGAAGACGCATATGTTCGCGTACTAACTCTCCCAGCACATCCTCAATGGAGCCAACATTGCGATGAAGCAGAGAGGAACAAATGCCCTCGAAAGCCGGATTGAGTTTAATTAAGAAGTGGATGAGACGAGACGTGGCTCGCTCTTTAAGAACCTCAGCTGAGGCTGCTGCCGACACCAATGAAGCCGTCAATAAATCTTGTTCAGTCCAGAGGTTTAGGGCAGCCTGGTAATAAGATCGGATATCCAAATCCCCCTGTTGCAAGGAGGCAAGCTCAATTTCTAGTTATAATTTCCTCGACGCATTGGACTGGGAGTGAATGTCATGCAGATGTTTCCACATAGCAGCTGCAGTGGTAAAGCCGCGTAAGCTGAGAGCCATCAACGGGTCAACAGACGTCAGAATCGATGAGATGACCTGAGCATTATCAATTGCCCAGTCTTGCCAAGCTTTAGCCGTGGCAGATTCCCCCGGCTCCGGAGAGGACCCGTCAGAATAGGTAGCAGCCGTTTCCCTTGAATATAAACCCGAAACTGCATCTCCCAAAGAGGAAATTTTTTTCCATTCAACTTAGGTGAAACACCCTCAAGCTTCGAACCCTCCATGACTGAACTGAATGAATATATAGCTGAAAAGAAACCCCAACAACTCGAGAAATACCCAATCAAAAAGAAGAAGCAGATAGCAACCAAATCCACCTTACCAACACCCACAAATCATCTAAGAAAACTATCGGTCTTTTACATTATGTAATAATTTAAAAAATTAAATCAAAATACAAGTACAGAAGAATTAACTCCAATTTCCAAACCCTAGTCTCTCCTCTTTCCCAAATCCTCATTCGGCCCACTCTCTAAAGACCGCGAAACATTCTATCTTTTTTTCCTTCGCTCGTCCTCCAATTCTCCCTAAATTCTACGCTTAATAATTTTAGTGCTAGGGAACGGTGCGGTCTGTTCCATATCAGACCATACATACGGTTTATGGTCCAAACCGAGAAGTTGAAACATAAACCATGAACCAGACCAGACCACACATGTGCGGTCTTGTCCGGTACTGTCTGTACCATGTGAACCAAGCTTAGCGAAAATTTAACATTTTTTGTTTAATTCACCTGCGTAGCCATAACTTTCACGATTTTGACAAATATAACCAATTTTTGAAAATACACAAAAATAACCATTCCGTTAATAACTTTAACGATACAGTGAGATATTCTGACTGGATTAACGTTTTCTAATGACATGGAAACTTTTCGTCAAAAACAATTACAGGTGGAAATGTTCCCTTTTTATTAAATTAATTACATAAATAAATAAAAGTAAAACAAAGAAAAAGGAGCTGAAACTACCCCCATTCCCCCACTTTATTCTTCATCCCGTTCGTTTGCTGATTCATCTTCCCCGAAGATTGTCTCTCTTCATCTTCTTTATCTTCTCCAATTACTAAGTGCCACCACCCTCTGTCGTCCTTTAGTTCCTAGGATCGGCTGCCAGCGCCATTGTGAAATCCCTAGAAATGGGAGAGCGACCCATCTTCGCTTACCCAAGTTATTAGCGCTAGATCTGGGGCGTCGTCGAGAAAGAGCAGATTGAACCTTTGTCCCTTCGATTACAGTCGTGCTAGAGCTGGTTTTGAGATTTGGTACGACGAGGGGAGAAAGAGGGAGAGCTCCGAGGTTCCCCAACTTTGCCGATTCCCCACCTTACTTCCCTCTTCTTCTTCTTCTTCTTCTTCTTCTTCTTCTTTGTTCACTCCAACCAGTCAACGAACCCAACCACTTCATCAGACCATCGTTCCCTTCCCTCCATCGATCAAAGTATTCATTCACTCCAGATATCCCTTTGTCAATCACATCCATCCCACTTTAGGCTGCACCGTCGCTGGAGAACAATAGGAGGAGAGAGCGACGCCCAAGATCTGACCCTGATTCCGGCTGCTAGAGCTCATTCCCTCCAGATGGGAACCATGTATTTCTCACGAAACCCTCTCCATGGAAAACAAAAATAAAAACCCAAATTTGAAACCCTCCCTCGTCCATTATCCGCCAATCCTCCTCCACCGCCGCTCCCTTCGATCTACCGCCTCTCCTCCTTACCTCTGTTTGCGTATTCTCCTCCTACCCAACTCTCATCTCCACCGCAAGGGTAACCAGAAATCGGTTTTGAGAACCGCTATTGAAGGGGCAGAGCTCTGAGCTCTGGTTTTGCGAGATCTGGAAAGTCGGAGCAGTCGGAGGAGACAAAACTTCCTCGCGGCAGCTATATTGGTGGGTGCGGCGACGAGGCAGTGTTTTGATGTTTTCATCTTCACTCTAGTCGATAATGGAGATGGTGGGTGTGGCAGGAAAATTGGATTTTGGAAACCTAGATCTGATCGACGTTGATTTTTCACCATGAGTGTTTTATGAAAATTAAATTATTTATTTTAATTCAAAATCTGATGTCGCAGTCAGGTGGCATGACTTGGTATGTTGGAGCTGATGTGGGAGTTAAGGTGACATCCACATCAGCATCTTGTTAACGATGTTAAAGTTTCTAACGAAAATAGCTAATTTTTTCAAACGAATTTCTAAAATGTGGTTACTATTGTGTATTTTTTGAAAAGTGGCTATAATTGTCAAAATCGTTAAAGTTATGGCTATGCAGGTGAATTAAACCAACATTTTTTTTAGTCAACCACACAAAAAATCGAACCAATAACCGAGAAAAATAATGAGTTTTCCCCTAAAACATAAATTAAAACACACATACATAATTTTGATACGATAAATCCAAGAAAATAACAAGGACACAAAGTTAGACCAACTCAATTTGCACCGTAACTTGATAAATGTTAACATAATTTCATATGAAGACACCATTGTCTCTACTCTATGCATGATTGGGGTTTATGAATGAAAGCCTGGATGATATTCGCAAAACTAAGGTTGAGACTCGGGTCTCGTTGAAGAGTTGGGAGAGTGGTCGAGTGAGCTCCTAACATGAATTGGGAAGTGGGTTGGGTTCACGGTTTGGTCCGGTAAACAGCGACTAGAACAGACCAATAAATCAATACATCCTATAATACTGACCATGGACCAGACCAAACCATTCTTAACGGTCTACGGTCTGGACCAAACTATGCGGTTCGGTTTGATCTACGGTTTTTCAAATTGTCTGTTCTATTTTCCCAGCCCTACTTAATATACCAAAACGGTTAATTGGTTCCATAAGTTCATTTTGGTCCTCCAATTGTACATCCATTCCAAATCGAACCATTTAAGAGTATTTCGCAACAAATTTTGGGGCGGTCGTCGTACAAACTACAAAACGAAACTGTACCCGCTCTCCAAATACCTCTGTTCATACGATGGGTACATTTCCAAAAAGCTCCAATACTGGTTGTCAATCATCATGCGTGTAGTATAAGAGAAAAAAACTTCTGAAGCCACTGTCGTCCTGTTTGTGTGGGGATATCGAAACTCAGTAGTACTGCAGCCCAGCCAGTAAAGAAGAAAGGCCACAGCGGTGGCGCCAGACGATGCTTGCTGCTGCGGCTGCCGACGGAAACAGAGTAAAGGGCAACAAAGTGGTTTGCCAGGAAACAGAGTCACTCACATGACATATGTTCCCAAACTCTTTCTGATGAATGCAACAGCAAAAGCGGGAGGGAATACAAGGAAAACGACGACTTCATGGCAGCAAGTCATTAGAAAAGTTGGAAAAGGGCGGTGAATTATATGTTACCGGCGGTGACAACTGCGATTTGACAACGGTGAATTAAGATGGGTAATTGATCTTGGTGAAGTTAGGTTGAAATTATTGACGTATGTAAAATTACGAGTAAAATTCTTAAAAAATTTATAAATAGAATAGGCGGCAAGGTCTTAATCCCTCTAGTCAATTACCACGATTTTAATTAGCCTTCCCTTATTCAGATTCCTAGCGCTGTCATTGAACTTCTCTTAGTAATTCGAGGTGTTAAATCTAACTCGGTCTTGATATGGTATCAACGCATTCTGTGATCGAAATGTCTTCCGAGTAGAGATGGCAAAAATATCCGTATTCGTGGATATCCGTCAGAATCCAACCTAATCAGGTAGGGTAAAACTCGAACTCGAATATCGCGAGTAATGGGTGGACATGGTTTTCTCACTATCTTACCCGAACCCGCCCGATTATACGCATGCAAATATATTTTGTCTAGAAATAATCAATATTTTTCTCTAACATATTTTATATTTAACATCTTCCAACACTAGCACAGGGCTCGGCCCGTTGGCCGGAAAAAATTTGTCGGGTAATATGATATACAATAATGGATATAATACATGATTTAAAATGCATGAAGTGATTGTTTTGTACCTTAGTTATGCACATAACATCTTTGAAAGTGATCCAGTTATGCATAAAGTGTTTAGACCTACATGAAAAGAGGGGGAAAAATTATATAAACATTACATATAATTACTTTATGAAAAATGAAATAAATATAACTAATTGTCATTCATTATTTAATTAAACTATATAATTGAATATTAGAGTTGCTTCTCATATTACATACATAATCAACCTTTAGGATGAAAGAAGTATGTCCTTTAAGTTTTTTCCAATAGAGAGCATTCAAATGATATTATTGATTTAGGATTTTTTTATTGAAATGGAAAAAAAATGTCAAATATAATGTCATCCCCTAAAATAAATCAAAACTCAATAGAAGAGGGCTAACAATACCCTCTAAGCAAAGGAGAAAGACAATTATATCACTCTACATAATTTTTCCCCTCTTGTAAATGTGTTCTCACTCTCTCTTTGTCTTCCTCTTCCTTACCCTCTGAGCTTGAATCTCACCACTCTCCCCATTCCCTTCCTCTTTCTTCCCACCGCCTGGAATCGAGAGAAACCTAGAAACATCTCAATTACTTCTCCAATTTTGCGTTCGAAATGCTTATTCTTCATTCACAGTCGATAGTGTGAATCAAACCACCTGAAACCTGGCGAACAGATGGCCGCTTATTCCTCGACGGAGCAAAGTAGTTTGATAGCTTGTGAATAAACTAATTACTAAAAGTGATAAAAACAATACTCGTTAAATCAATTCAGTGAGCGTATAGTTAGTTCATCGCTTAAACTATTTTATTTATCAAAAGAATCAAAATGCATAATTAGGTTCATCTTCACTTATTTACATGTATTTGTTGTACAAATTCATTACACATAAAAAAATGGTTTGAACCAACATATCAAACTAAATCTCATCTTATGATTATTGAATCCAATAATGTCAGTTTAGCAAGAGGTCTAAGACTATTGGTCAATCGGGCTGAAAATTAATACTAATTTAAGAATTATATATCGCTTCCAAATTTTCAATACTCATATTCAATATGCAATATTCGAAAAAAATTATATATGAATTTCAACCCTTTCCTCAAATATTTTGGACCAATAAAAACCCCCCCCCCCCCCCCCCCCCCCCCCCAAACACACACATTTGCAAAGAGATACTAAATCTCAATTTCTTCTTCACTTTACTTGCTTCTAAAATTATTGTTGACGTTGTTTGTTATTACTGCAAGCCGTAAAAAAGATTTTTTTTGCTATGAAGTTAATCAAGAACGATTTTATAAATGAGTGTTTAGTTGCATAAATTGGAAAAGGTTTGAGTCTCAAAATAAACAATAATATATTATATAAACCTTTTAAAATGAGAGCCGTCACACATTGATGTTAAAAACTACTCATTATTTCAAATTTTATATATTATTTTATTTTATTATTATCAAATGGCACATTCTCCAAAAAACATGAGTTCACCAATATAGACTGTGTGGTGTTCGCACTTGTGCGCGAACCCTTAAAGTTTAGGTCTAGTGCAACCCATGAAGCATTCATGTTTGTAGAGAACCGATCCACATATATTGTCTTCATGGTATGCGCTAACTATGTCGTGCTAGCTCGACCATGTGCCTAGGTATAGTTATATGCATTCTAATAATTAAATTTCTACCTATTCACAACACCAACATAAAAAAACAGCCATAAATGCACCCAATATTCGATTTTGACTACAAAATGAAATAAATACTACATTTGAACCAACTATCACTTATGTCGCAAATAATAAGTATACCTCTAAATCATAGATAAAATATATCAAGCATCACAAATATTAAGATAAAATTAATTATTATGAAGAGTTAACACTATAACATGAGGTTAATTATAACTCATTTATATGTTAATGCCTTATAAATTGATCTAACACATCCAAAAATGGTGAAATGAACATCAGATTAAACCCAATATTGTCTCATTATTGTTGGATCCATTCATGCCAAATTAGCAATAGGTATAAAGTTTAGCAGTTAACCAGACTAAAATTTTAGAGAACCATTCACCTATAGTTTGTACAAAATATTATTGCTTCATAGTAGTTCTGAAAATTTACATAAATTTAAAGAATTCTACATGACTTTTGAATATTCAATACTGCAATTTGATATGCATTATTTCAAGCAACGAAATTTGGGTTGCAATTTTAAGATTATCCGAAATTGTAAACATACACTACACGAAAATTTGAAAAGTAGACGACTTTTCCACCAATATAGACTGTGTGGTGTTCGCACTTTTGCGCGAACCCTTCAAGTTTAGGTCTAGTGCAACCCATAAAGCATTCATGTTTGTACAGAACCGATCCACATATATTGTCTTCATGGTATGCGCTAACTATGTCGTGCTAGCTCGACCGTGTGCCTAGGTATAGTTATATGCATTCTAATAATTAAGTTTCTACCTATTCACACCAATATAAAAAAACAGTCATAAATGCATCCAGTATTCGATTTTGACTACATAATGAAATAAATACTACATTTGAACCAACTATCACTTATGTCGCAAATAATAAGTATACCTCTAAATCATAGATAAAATATATCAAGCATCACAAATATTAAGATTAAATTAATTATTATGAAGAGTTAACACTATAACATGAGGTTAATTATAACTCATTTATATGTTAATACCCTATAAATTGATCTAACACATCCAAAAATGGTGAAATGAACATCAGATTAAACCCAATATTGTCTCATTATTGTTGGATCCATTCATGCCAAATTAGCAATAGGTATAAAGTTTAGCAGTTAACCAGACTAAAATTTTAGAGAATCATTCACCTATAGTTTGTACAAAATATTATTGCTTCATAGTAGTTTTGAAAATTTACATAAATTTAAAGAATTCTACATGACTTTTGAATATTCAATACTGCAATTTGATATGCATTATTTCAAGCAACGAAATTTGGGTTGCAATTTTAAGATTATCCAAAATTGTATAGGTTATAAAAAAATTATAAATCACGTATTAAACTTTGCTTTTCAGAAAGATTTAATAGGCTAGCTAACAGTGATGGAAAAGTCGTCTACTTTCCAAATTTCCGTGTAGTGTATGTTTATAATTTAATAAGATAAAATAAATTTGTTTAGTGTAATTGGTTGTGATTATTCTTTTTGTTTGAATAGACCATGGCTCAAATCTTGATATTGATACTTTTTATATGAAGTAGATAAATAATTGTGATGACAAACTTACTCTTCCTACTTTCACTCTCAATTCATGAAATTTGAAATGAAAAATCTTAAAACATTGCACTTCCTATTTTTACCTGAAATTATTATATTTTATAGAAACTGATTAATTGTGAAATCGGAACTCAAGTAATATTGATTCACACATTAAATATAAAATGGTATATATGGTTCAGTTTAGATAAAATACATATGTTTAGCCAAAACATGGAACTTGTGACAAATATAGTAATTTTTTGTGACAATCTACACATAATATAAAGATAAATTGGGCGCAATAATGAAAAAGAACTTCATAGGATCAATCTCAGACCACGAAATTTGAAATGAAACTCTCATTTTCCAAAATTATCATTATATTATGTGTATATTTGTCACAAAAAATGGATATACTCGTCACAAAGGTCCATGTATTGGTTATATTTCTGTATTTTGTCTAAACTAAACTACAGATACAATTTAATATTAATGTTTGATCAATCTCAGAACTAATCTCTTTTTATAAAATATAAATAACTTAAGATAAAATATAAATATAGAAGTATCATCACCAAACATATGTCTAGAGTTTAATAAAAAAAAATAACAATAAGATTAAGTAGCGTAGCTGGTTATAATGTTATTTCTTCATTTAATTGACCAAGGTTCGAACCCCAATGATAACATTTTTATTATATAGAGATGAACTGGGTGCAATGACAAAAATGACCTTCCTAGAATCACTCTCATGCCACGAAATTTGAAATGGGGGAATTTCAACCCATGTTTTGCCTTTATATATCTTGTAGATTTCGAATTATGGTGACCAATAGAGTTGAAGTGGTTCTTGACAGTTGGATGGAGGTCGTTTTGAAGAAAGAGAGTTTGGGGAAGGGGGCTTATCATCAGATGGGGGTGTGGGTGGGGTGGGCCTGGGCCTTTTGAAATGGGGCCAATCGAGTTGGCGGGGGCCCGCCCATGAGCCTGGTTTTTATGGGCGCCGGTGGGGCGAGCAGTGAGATGGAAAAGCCGAAAAGTTTGGCCGCATTGGTGGACGGACCGTCGGACGGACGAACGAAGGATGTGATTGGTGGAATCGGTAACTGTCCATTTGTCGTTGAGAATCCCTCTTACAGCTACAAAATCACAAGTGATTTGTAGGTTGTGAACTATAGATTTCGGTTTGGACAATTAACTGCAATCTTTAACAACTTTCGCTCCAACTTTTATCGGTGGTCCGTGCTTCCGATTATACTATGATTGATAGTTTCTGTCATATTATATCAAAGATGATTAAAATTCGATTTAGCTGCACATTGGTTTGCAGAAGAGAGATTGCATTTTGCACTTGCAGGCTAGGCCACTTGCGTTGTACTCTCACCACAACCACAACATATCAACGCACACAACAGTGACTCAAAACCGATGGTGAAACAAAAAAATTATCGAGGATAGCACGTACGTAAAAAAAAAAATACAAATCAGACTGTATGTCTTGAATCATCCGTTATCGTCATAGTTGAGCTAATTTCAATGAACTGTCCCTCCTTCCAAATTGTTGTTGAATACAATTCCAACCGAGTACAACCACATCAAAAACCATTACTACCAAATGTAAAATGTTATTTTTTCCATCAAGTCCAGCTAAAATTTAAGGTGTAGTAGTAGATGCAAGAAACGATTTAAATTGTGTGGATTGGGCCCGATATTAAGGGAGGAAAAGGGGCCCACAAACCCAACATCATCTCCCTCCCTTCATTCTGGAGGCCCACTTGCCACTAACATTACAGCATATCATCATGTGATCATAATATCTTTATGTTATCCCTCTTCCCTCCCCAATTTCCCCAAATTATTATAGGAGTAATAAAGTGAATTACCCTTTTTCCTTTTTTTGTTGTGATAAGTAGTATTTTATTGTAAATTTGCAATGCATAAAAAAATCAGTTCTTATGCAAACATTATAGAGTGCCCCCACCCCCAAGCAACATGCAAATATATCCCAACATGTTAGCTTCATGTGTAGCTTATCAATCCCATATGTTGTATATTAGAACGTATATTAATTTGGGAAAAAAAAAATTCTTACTTGGTAATAGTAGGGTACACTTATAAGCTCATTGCTTCACCCCCTTTCACCATACATCTAATGGTTGCTATATTTTGGAATATCTATCTTTCTCGGGTCTTTCACCAGAGTCATATAAAAATGAGCCAAAAATACTAATGATAATACGACATAAAAGACCTTGATTAAATCACATGAAAAGACAACTCATTTATCTTAGCCTGGTGTGCAAGCGTCAATTCCAACAGATTACTCGATCTTATCTCGTATTACCTCAAACCATCCTATTTAATAATCAATCTGTCTCCTTTCCATGTAGGTGGTTGGGTAAAGGGTATGCGTGACCCCTTTTTATCATTAACTTGTGTGAATTAACATAGTGATCTTGACGATTCGAATGAAAAACTTGATGATGATGGACACAAAACGATTGTATTTTTAGTTATCCCGACTTACTTATACGCAGTTATTAAAAATCAAAGTTCAATGATCGAGCTCCAAATTCAGTGCATGTTTTCCCCCTCTGTAACTTACCATTTTACTCCCTCTCCTTTTATTCTTTTACCATTGTGGTACACTATTTTGGCGATCCAAGTACCACTAAAAAGTTCATGTTGTATCATCGTTGTCCTGGGGTCTAAAGCGATCACCAGCCATTGTTATCAAAATAAAAAAGAGGAAGCTTTTTGGAATAAAGGACACACGAAGTGATTTCACAGAAGGCCACCAGAGGTACATACATGCATGTAAGCTGTAACTAGGTAATAATAGATAGGACATGTTCTAAGGGCAGCCAACCTTACAAATAAATACCCACAATACATTTTTTCGTATTTTTTTTATTATAATACAAGTAATAATGTCCATGTTGTACATATCATATTTATAAAAATTGTTTCCAAACAAAATTTTCCAATATGGACAATAATCACACAGTATTATAATTACATGATTAGTAAGGAAAACAGCACAAGGGATTGGTGGACCATAAACAAACCCATACCTTTGTTTTTTTTTTCTTTCCCTACCAAATCATGAAAATAAAATGTGTAATGGGAAGAGATCTTTGCTATCATGCACATGCCACCATGTGATGGGGATGGGAATGCCCTTCATGGTGTCCCTTGGTAATTGTTTGTTACTCTAGAGTTTGATTTAACGATACTATTTACGGTTTTTACACGCGAATTACGTCATCGAATTCGAAGCTGAAATCTTGCTTTTTACAAATGAATGTAATTTTTTTGTTTTAGTAAGTCGAAAACTTGTCAAACATACAGCAGTCAAAACACCCGTGTAATCTGGCTAGGTACATGTGCAGGAATTTTGTGGGACTCCATTTCAAATCCCAAGCCTCTCAAGTTCCAACCTCTTTTTCCTCACATCAAAGTCAAAGTTTAACGTATGCACGAATGTATATGGTGATATAACTAAATAAACACTTTAAAGCTAGTATTATTTTAGAGTGGTGGTACTCCTAGCTCTTGTACTATACCGGTTTAAAATTCTAGGGACATTATAGAAATGTTATTATTTTGTGGTTTTTTCATGTTTAGTAATATATCTATAACAAATTTTCTATCATAATTAGTCACAAAGACATGCATGATGTGCTATAAAAAAAAAGACATGCATGATGTGCGAGTCATGAAAAATATTTCTCAACTCTATAACAACCATACATGCATGATCATTAACAAATTTTAGTAAAGGAATTAACTAATCATGATCAATAATTATCCTATACACTTAACAAACATAATAATAAGAAATTCTATTTTATATAAAATAATTCGATATTTGTCTTTTGACCAACCCACATCGCACTCACCCGTCACCACACTAGTAGAAAGGTAGGAAATTATTTCCTATTCAAATTTTGTATCTTTTGTTGTAACTCAGACAGTAAAAATGTTTTTCTTTTTTGAAAAAAAAAAGTGGGAAACTTCTGCCAAAATAGAAAAGTCAAAAATTGGGGAAAGGTAAGGAAAGGAAGTGGAAGTTAACCCTACAAAACTTCTCACCTCCCCACTTCTTCTTCCCTCTCTATAAAGCTGCTTACAAAGATTACTCAAGGTATAGAGTGGTCCATATGAGATTTTTTTTTCTTCTGCTTATAAGGATGGGCATATGCTAGAAGACCCTTTCAGCATCCTACCTCCTCCTTCTCCCTTTCCACCTCTCTTTCTCCATCTCCATCTCCATCTCCCTCTTTCTCAATTTCTCTTCTCCTTTACCTCCCAACAGAGGAAAACCCAAGTGAAAGATCTCTTCTTTTTTACTATGTCGAGGGAAGGGAAGCCCGTGCCATGCTATTCCACAGCTTTCTTGAACTTTCCTCTGCTATAAAACTCTCAATTCCCACTAATAATGGAGCATGATTTCCATGGCCGGAGAGCTCAAGAAAGCTGTGGGAGAACATGTCACTCTCAGGGCTTAGAAAATTACTCCCAAGGGACAACCAGGAAGCTACCCAAACTGCCATGGTAAAAAAAAAAAACAAATACTACACTTTACTATACTTCTCAGCTTTTCATCTTTTTTACCGTGGGGGTGAGAAAAGGTTTCACCTTTCAGTGTTTGTTCACTGATTCGAGATGTGGGTTGTCTTTGTTCTTGGGTTTCTGGATGTGGGTTCGATTCATCTTTCATGAATTCTGCTTCATTTTTGAAAGGAATTGGGTGATGAAATGGGGAGTTGTGGTTAGTTTTGGTGACTATTGTGTCATTTTCTTAAACCAAGAAGAATCCAATATGCAGAAATCAGAGATCTATAGCTTGCTGCTGCAGCCATGCAGCAGTAGTAGGCTGTAGCAGAAATTGAGGTAAGTTTCCTTTGGATCAACAACTAACTAGAACTCTGATGGCTCAATCAAAACAGTGAAAGAAAAAGCAAAGGGCCACACAACAGTGTGCTTATTTATTTTTTTAATATTTTCCTTCATTCTATTTTTCAAAGTAGGAAACCTAACAAAAGATTGGATTTTTAAATATTGGGTAGTTGTTATTATTTGCCATAAGAAATTGAATCATTGTGGGGGTGGGATTTTTTGGCAGAGAAGATTCCCAAACTTTCCTTTTTATGTGTCAATGATGATAGTTCTTCCTGTTGGGAGCATTGAAGAAGAGATGATCTTCTCTTCTCCTCTTCTACCTTTACCCTTCTTCTTCTTCTGCCTCCTACATTTCAGTGGATAAATAAACAAATGGGTAAATTTTTTTAACCTTCTTATTAAATGACATCATTTTTTAACCACTCTTTGCTTTCTCTGCCAAGCTTTCTGACATCACTCCCTTGTTGTTGTTTTTTAACCTTCCCATCCCTCTCATTCTCTGTCACCAATTCTGTGCTTCTTTTTATCTTTATTTTCCTATTTAATTTTTGGGCTTGCTGTAGGCAGTCCTTTTGTTGGGATCTCCACAGTGGTAGTTGAGGATGCATGCATCAGGAAATTAATAAAACTAAATAAATAGAAACACCAACATACCATGTACTTGGATATTTGTTCTTCTTGAAAATTTGAATGAATTATGTTTAGGTTTATGGTTTGAATTGATTATGTTGAGTAGTAAGTAAGTGTCATTATATAATATTATTATGAGCAAGTTTTCTTTAAGTAAGCATAGGGAATACTACCTTTTAATTTTAGTAGAGTAGACTAGAGACCTGCCAACTCGATCATATGCAACGCCGATGAGCAATGTCTAGACTTTAGAATCAGAAAGACACTAAATTCAACTTTACCTGTCGTAATTTTGAATCTCAACTCAATTATATATATGACACGAAACCAATTGGGTTAATGTTCCTTAGCTGTACATTACTCTATAGCTAGCAGCTGCCAGCAGCCATCTCAATTATGAATTCCCCTTTTTCCCAGCAGCTACCTCTCTAGTCATTATTTTTTCCCCCTTTATAATTTATTTCTAGTCTACCTGTAATTTTGGTTGCATATATGGAATAGTTTGCTGCAGAAAATCTCGATAATGTTTGGGTATATTTATATGTAACACCTTTCTAGCTAGCTTGTTTTTAATTTCCTCCACTGATTTCCTACCTTGTGTCCACAAAATACACTGAATTGTTTGTTCTTTTCCTCCTCTCTCCAAACTTTATTATTATTTAAATAGTTTTTTTTTTCTTCAAAAAATGAAACATTTGATTCTTCTACAGAACAGCAGCCAGCCACATAGTGCCAAATTGTGTTCAGCTACATATATATATGTATACAATCCATTAAGGCCCAATCCTTGGCCTGATGCAGAAATCAGAATAATTAGGTGATTCCAGCCAATGGAAGTAATTAAATTCCTAATTTTTCCACCACATAATTCATTTGTTTGTGGCCCCTTTTTGTGCACAAATATGTGCAATGGAGCTGAAACCTTGAGGGTGGCAGGTGTCCAAGTCAAGCAATTTTCAAAACCCACTTTGCAAAATTTTGTTTTGTCTTCAATGTAATAACTTATTATTGCAGGGCAGAAGATAGGGTTAGTTTGCCAATTAAGGGTATGGTGTCCTTTTTGGTTTGAATGAGGGGTTTAGTGGGTCATAATTGAAGCAGTGAGGGAAAGCTTTGTTAAGGGGAATCTTTTGCTAATACTGGTAATGAATTGTGGGGAGGAAAAGAAAAGGGCTTATCTCTTGTATTAGTGTTATCAGTACCAGATTTGTGAAATGTGAGCTATACAATTGCTTAGCTATGGCTTAGCTAGCAGGTTGCATAATAGACCAGACAGAGGAGGATGGGCACATCTAGTGGACCTAGTGAAATTATATAAACCAAGAGAGAAACCTAATTGAATGATACTTGTTTAATGTAACATGTTGATTATCGTGGTTCGAGGTTGGGTATGTCGATACTATTTCTTGTATGTAGTTGATTATCGTTTCTTGCTGGTGACTATCTTCTATATACGCGCTAAGAAATCGTGTGCATTTGAATTATTGTGAACCATTGGCGACTCACGGTGGAGAATCATCCAGGTCTCTTTCTTACGTTGCACAAATTAGACTCGCAACTAGGCTCACCGAAGCAGCTCGAACGCGAGACTGTAACCTCGTATGTATGAAGTATTTTATCTAGGCTGATCGAGCTGAAGTTCTTTGAGTGCAAAAGAAAGAGACGCGTCTGGTGGTCCTACCCTCTGATAGTTCGGATGTTTCAGTAAGAAAGTTGTTGCATGCACGGGAGACCACTCGATTCGAATATAAAACCTTTCGCAGTCGTTCCACCACACCTCTATGTCGACTTTGTAACGAATTTCTTGCGAGCTGTTGTTTTTTGTCACGGAAAGCGGAGAAAACCCTGTGACCCTAGCTAGAGCTCAAGATATACAAGGTGATATTCACAAACAATGGTGGTTTTGGTGCCATTGAAGATGTTGTTCTATGAAAGTTGGAAACAGGCATCAACCTTACTTACCAAAGGGATCAAAGCCCTTTAAATCCATGTCTTTTCTATCTAATACAAAACAAACATTACATGTGATCAAGGCGCGAGTTAACTGGTAGTACTTACACAAGTATATGGGCAAATGGCTTTAGTACGTACTTGGTGGTGGAGGGTAGGAAAGGTACCTGGGAAAAGAGGAATTGGCAGCTGATGAAAGGGAAATGGCTGTCGCCGTGATGGCCCTGAAAAAGCAGTAAATTCATAGGTTGCCCACTTTTCCATTGGTGGTGGTGGGGGTGAAAGTGAAAGACAAATTCTGAAAGTCACGTCGCTTTTGTTTAATGGAAAATGGTTATGAATGAAATACTAGCAGTTACTTTAACCTCCCAGTTATGAATGGAGCTGCTCTCGTATTCGTTCTTGATCAATGCATCTCATGCAACTAGCTATATGTGTTAGCAGCCATCGTGTTTTCCTTAGCAAGTTGGGATACCCCCAAGGATTTCATGCACAAAAGGGTATATTTTATCTCCGAGAATAAGGTCAATCCGTTAGCTGTATGTAAACAAGGATTTGGTCTATCGATTCTGTTGCTGATTTTCAACTTGGGGATTCCTGATTCGAATTCTTAAAGTAGTATAACGAACTATTAAAATTAAACTTATATGACCCTCGTAAAATTGTAATTATGCTAGTCCTTTTTGGGCACTTAACACTAGAAACATGTGTGATTCTACCAAACACAACCAACTCAAACCATATTATGTAGTTATATAATGAAATCTTTATATATGTCATCGACGGGAAGTTATGGAGTCCCTAATTTGAAATATGAGTTTGTATATTTCTTTTTTTTTTCCTTTTTATTTTACGGCTATTTTTATCATTTTCATCTCCATGGCATTTTTGGGATGTTTCCATTTAGAGCTTGGATTTTGGGGAAAGTGCTTATATAAACCTTCTCTCCCTTTCTCTAATTTTACTTTCCTCGATATAGTGAACTAATCTCTCCAGGTCGAACTAATAAACACACAATATGTTAGTGAATCACAATGATATTATCATTGTTATGTGTTGTTTCTTTTTTCTGACATTATTATCGATTGCTTGCTCCTTTACAACATACCAAGTGACCAATCTTTTAACTTACTGCCAATTCTTAAACCCTAACTTACTGCCAAGTCTCGTTGCTTCTCATCATCATGTGCCTACCCATATATTCGATCGGGACCAAAATCTTGTACAGCTAACTTTCACAAGATAATGTGGCTAGCTATGATGACCCCGTTGCACATATAACCACTATAAGCTCGAATCGTTTTCACAACCCATTTATGAGAAAGCAAAGCATAGGACAATCCATGTGATCGATCTCTCAACATATGCTTTGCAAGCTAGCTCTCTCATATGCTCTCTTTGAGGTCCCCCTAGCTTGGCTTCTTTTCCCCATTTTTTCCCTTTTGCAAAAACATGATGTGAGAGTGCAGCACAGGAACAAGAACAACAAGAAGAAGAAATGGAAATTTTGTTGACCATGAAATGAATGTAGGAAATGTACAAAACAGAAATGAAAATGTGCAATCATGGATGGTGAAAGGAGAAAAGCTAGAGAGAGAGAGGGAGAGAGATCGAAGAGGGAATATTTCTCATGCCCATATCGCTGATTGCTACATGGGCTTAGGGGACATGCACTATAGTTTCGTCTGGTTCTTGGGGTGGATCTTGATTTGGCAAAAGCAGCAATGAGGGGACAGAAAGGAAATTTGGAGGCATTGTAGAGTTCATTGGGCTCTTTGGCAGTAGAGAGGCTATATAGCCAATATATTATAATGGTTTGTGTGTATTGAAGCTCCATTTATATCCATATATTTGAACATGGAGTGGATACCATATTTGTAGTACATGTTTGTTATCAGAAGTTTACTTACTTTACACTCATGGGTGGGAGGGAAAAACACTCACCAAGCTAGTGACCATACAATTCAAATCAAAGGGTTAGGTTTAGTGCCTAGCTAAACCTACCAAAATAGTAGGGATTGCTTGTCATCCTATGATAAAAGAGAGGTTTTGTCAAAGCAAAGGGTAAGGTAAACCCTGACCATGATGTCTGATTTTCTGGCTAAACAACATCGATAGGTGATTATATCCTGGTGTACGAACTTGATGGGTATGCGACTTTGTCATCTTAATGAATGATGTTGACAGGTGATTCGGTGCAAATTAACGATTTAGTAGCTAAATACGATTTCCAGGTTTCATATGTTTGTTGTAATAGATAGCTATATTTCGCTAACAATTCATGCTTAAAATAATTTTTGTCGAAAGGTATGTTTCTAGAACTATATTAATACAAGAAATTGAAAAATATCTCACATTCGAGTCGACCGTTCCATCAAGATTCCCGTGAAGATGCCATCTAACCCAAGAGTAAGCTAGCTAGCTAGAAGGGAGATAAGGCTAGAGGTGATAGTATGGAAAGGAGCAAATGGGAGGGTTCTTATGTATTGTTTTATTCAAGTGATGTGCACTTTTCCACCGATCGATCTTTACTTCCTCTTCCCCCCACATTCACAAAGCACAAGGAGAAATCAAAAGAACACTTCTTTTGTCAAACAATGCAGACAAACTCATTGGAATGCTTTCTTTTCTCCATTTGGATATTATCAAGAGAGGAACAAGCAAGCAAACAAACAACTCTAACTTTTCTAGACAAAATATTAAAGAAGATAAATTTTATATGGTTTCTCTAATCCCAATTTGTTGTCCTTTAAGCACACAACATTAGTGGAGAAATAAAGGAGAGGTCAAAATAATAATGATAGATAATCAAACCCCACTCTAAAGTGAAAGTTAGTGATCAAACAAAACAAAACACAACCCATAAAGCAAAATGCTTTCCCTATGCAAGATCTAAAGAAAAATCAATCAATCAATAATTAACTATTTTGATCACGAGATCATCGACCAGGATCGATGCAGAATAATTTCAATCACACACAGTTGTCCAACACGCGCGCATCAACCAACTTTCATTGTTTATATATTAGTTGGCAAACATTGATAAATCAAATTAAAAAGCATCTGGATTGGATTAGGTGTGGAAAGTTAAACCACAAAAATTTGTTGAGAGAAATGACCTGTGTGACAACAGAGGCCAGTGTGGGTGCTCATAAAAGTATACAAATGAATTGATTAAGGGAGGTGGCCAAAGCTAGCCTAGCTAGGTGGCCATATGTGTATTAATTAAAAGGAAAAGACTCCAAACAGACTGCAGCTGTGCTTGCTGGCTTCTACCTTAACATTCCAGCTAATCAAGTTGACAGCCATAAACCCTAGTACACTTTGCTTTTTACCCTAGTAGACATTATTAGTTTCATAGCCTGCCAGCCGGTGGCCGGAGGGGCAAGAACATCTGGCCGGCGATCAGCAACATGCACAACATGTATATACTGCAATTCAAACTCAGATTGGTGATCAAACTCAAAAGTTTTTGAGAATCCTTATGTAGAAACATCTTGATCTGATGATTCAGAAACATGTCAGCCCTAACAAAAGACAAAAGCCAATACTTTTCTTCTTCTTGCTTCTTTATAGGGTGATCCACAAAGGGTCTCTTCTTCCTCTCAACTTGGGTTTGTCTTCACCCTCAGATTGAACATTGCAAAATCCAAAGCCCCTCAATTAACCAAAAACTAGATAGTTGACAGTCCCAAAAAAGAAACCCTAGCTCAGAATTTTGCTTCCTTGTATTATTATCATCTAAACTCACACACAAAAAGAGAGATAAATAGCGGAAAATGGGTTGAAGGAGGAAACGAATTATCTTACAATTTCGATGCGTTACCATCAAATTTTGTAATGGTGGAGTACATAATAATAATCACGTTAAGAATTTGAGCTTGAAACCACTAAATTGGAAACCAAGAACAGTCAGAATTCGAATTCCAAACTTTCGAATTGGAAACCACTTGCTTCATTCATCATTAGGTAGAATTCGCGTAAACTTCGTACCTATAGGATGTGTCCATTTCAAATCTCTATACATAACCTAACCATGGTTGGGTTGGATTAATGAGAGAGGGGGGGAGGGAGGGTATAAATTCCATGACTGAGAATGGCAAACTCTTGTGGTCCAAAACCTTGGTAGAACACAACCCATTGCTTGCCCACAAACAACTCATCGAAACACCATATGCAATACAATCCAAACAGAAAGAAGAAAGGAGTTAGGAAAAGAAAATCGAACATATAGCCATCAGCCAAACAACAAAAACAGACACCATATAGATCACTTATATATTACAATAATATCATCATCATATTATTACTCATCCATATACATCTCGAATGGAATCTTTTCATATTACACAAACAAAGAAACAAACAAACAACAACTAGAAAAGCTTTATAATTAAACAATGGAATTCAAGACCACAATCGACCGACCGACAGGTAACAGAAATGGCCCGATCGAAGCTGTGCCATTATGTAAAAGGGAGCCGGGAATAGAAGAAGAAGAATGTAGGCACCAAATATGCTTACAAAGCATTATTCACAGCTAATCCCTCCAATTAATCTATACACACATTTCTGTTTTGGGTTCTTTTTCTTGTGGGTGTAAGTACAAATGGGAAGGACAGTTTTTTTTAAGGCAGGAAAAGCACCACTACCATCTTACCTAAAGGGTACAATATAGATATAGACTCATGACTCATATATGCCTATAGACAGACACTTCATAACAACCAAAAGGATGAACTACTTGTTGTTGTCACGCGGCTTTCTGTTTGCATGAGGGAACAACATAAAAAAAAAAAAAGTTGGTTAGTATGTCACGCCATTGATTCACATGAGGAAGGCAGCGGCGGATCCAGAATATGATAGAGCCGTGGGCCATATTTAAAAAAAATGACGGAGAGGACTGATCCGTAACGCAACGAACACTAAAACGAATACCAAAAGTGATATACTAGCTCTCGATCGAGCGAGGACTGGACCCTGGCGCCCGGAGGAAGCCCCCTAGATCCGCCACTGGAGGAAGGTCGAAGGGTAATATTCTAGTTAAGAGAACGGAGTTGTTAGTAAAGGGTTAGTCACCCTCTCCAATTACCACAATTCAAATTCGGCCTTTATTCAGATTTTTTGTCTCCGCCACTGCTTTAGGGCAGATCTACTGAACTAGAGAGAGACCCGGGTTCGAAATCCTGCGGGTATTCCATCCATTTTGCGCCGCCGTATCGCCTACAACAACAACAACAAAAAAAAGTGGAATCTTGACGAATATAAGGGTGAAAAAGGAGATGGGTCGTTGAGATCTGGAGACAAGAATACC